TCGTCGACTGGGTTGACACTCGCGGCCGCACCCGCTGGGGTCATGCCTCGCGCTACCTGTCCCGCCTTCCCGTCGGCACAACCGTCACTGTCTCAGTCAAGCCCTCGGTCATGAAACTCCCTACCTCCGCCAAGGCACCTCTCATCATGGCTGGTCTCGGTACCGGTCTCGCCCCCTTCCGCGCCTTTGTCCAGTACCGCGCCATGCAGAAGGCCCGCGGCGAGGAGATTGGCTCCATCCTCCTGTACCTCGGCTCCCGCCACAAGCGTGAGGAGTACCTGTACGGAGAGGAGTGGGAGGCTTACCAGGACGCCGGTGTCATCACTCTTCTCGGTGCCGCCTTCTCTCGCGATCAGCCCCAGAAGATCTACATTCAGGACCGCATGCGCGAGAGCATCAAGGACATTGTGCAGAGCTACATCCGCGACGAGGGCAGCTTCTACCTGTGCGGCCCCACCTGGCCCGTACCCGACGTCACCGACGTGCTCAAGGAGGCCATCGCCTACGAGGGCAAGCTCAACGGCAAGAAGGTCAACCCCAGGAACGAGATTGAGAAGCTCAAGGACGAGGGCCGCTACGTGCTGGAGGTGTACTAGATGTTGATCTGCATGTGAAGCAATTTACTCTTGCTCGTTCATTTTCTTGGTCATATTTTTTTAATCCCCTGTCACATCATTCTACGTAGGATATTTCAACAAGCCTGCATACAGACTCAGATTCAATCATGTTTTAACCTGTGACTACGTGACAAGCTCGACGGGTAGGGCCTTCTCTTGATGCCTTGATCTCCACCCTAGGCTGCTCTAGGTAACCTATCGCATAATTTCAATCGTTATGAGACTTATTGGCATGCAAACAGCTAAGGAATGGGTGTAGCACACATAGGAGGTAGACATCATACAACGTGCTGCCTAGCGCAGAAGCAGTTTTCGAGACGCCCAAGGAGCGATCACGGTCCTGATGTGCTTTTGTTGAATGGGCGGATCAGCCTGTTTCCTCAGATTTGTGGCAAGCTATGATTCAAACTGCGGACAGTACTGCGAATTCTACTTAGCCTGTCGTAAACATCTTTCTTCAACAGCATTTCACCAATCTGTTTGCTCTCCGCGGCGGGCGATGATAAGTCGCCAATCCGTATCCATGATAAGGCACATCTCTTCGACTATCTCCGTAACAGAGATGCCTTGACTGTCGGGAGGGGGCAGGTATATTCGGAGTAAGCTTTCAAGATGCATCGTGCCACTTCTTGGAGGTGAGTCGCCACTGCGGTCGAGACTGTAGAACATATTCCACGATGCGCCTTGGTATCCTGTCGGATCTCCGTATCCTCTCGCATACCCGCGAATGCTGTTGCCGGTTGCATGTCAGTTATGTGGTTTTCACGGCAGCATCTCGTGTCAACTTACCAGTACGCGTTATTGAACGAGATGAGTTTCCTCACGTCCACAGTCCTCAGCCATTCGAAACTTTCACCCCAGACGTAGGCAACAATGAGCCACCCCCCCGTCAAGAAACGGGGGTCTCTCGTGTCCGTCTTTTGAGAGAAGACAATGCGCCGGCCCACAAAGAATGAGTTGCAAAAAGGCCCAATATGATCTTGGCAGCACTCAGGTTCCTTCCCTACCAGTCGATGTGATGAATGCGTCAGAAAAGTTTCCTCGTCGTCTCTTATCTGGTAATTTTGCCACTGCCTTAGGGCCTCATCATGTCGATGGATGTTTTGAAAAACATCATGGCATGTCAAAATTCTGAGGTGGATGGCCCAAGGAGAATATGGTTGCCGGAGGGGGTGCCGAAAGTCGTCGGCCACATGATAGGACTCTGACAGCATGGCCCAATCGCGGATCGGTGGTACATGCGAAATGTTGGGCAGGAAAATATTGGGAAGATTGAAACGTAGGCCGAAACGGCGCCTCACCGACAGCCACCAGGCAATCCGGCGGTTTTTCACCTCCATGTCTCCAAGGAGTCGGATGTTATCATCCTCGTGTTGGGGCACTTTGCAATAATAGAGTGCATCTGGGTAGTTTCTCGCAAGTTCTTCCTCTTCCGTTATCTCTCCTGTTGGGCGGACTTCAGGCTGATATGGTGGAGGCGATTGGTCGGGTGGCATCGTGAACTGAGGCTCTGGGCAGAAATGGCGTGGAGATCGGGTATGCTATACCTGCTGGTACAACACAACCTTCTTTACATGATTTCGTTTCAGTTTCCTGCGACTTCCTTCACATGTTGACACAAACCTTTGTAACCAAGTAGCAGCTCTCAAGGTAGTGGCATCTGGATGCAGAGAGACGAGCAATTCATCGCCACAAGCACAAAGGTGCCTCGGCCACCAATCATTGGGGGCAGATTCTTGAAACTCTGTCGAGTCTTTCGCCAAGCAGTCTCGTGATCCATATTTTTCTAACCAGGCCACAGCTTTTCAGGAGTAGCAGACATTATACGATGGCGATTGTTCAAATTGATGATCGCCTGATCCGTGAACAGGAACATTCCCTGTAGCCAGAACTTAGGTATACACCCACCAGTATCTTGCTCGCGTTGACTACAGGGGAACAAGACATTGTTCTGCATAGGCCATGGATAAGTGGCTAAAGGCTGGTAATTTGTGGTCATAGCCAACCAAAAAGTTCTTCCGATCGGGGAATTGAACCCCGGTCCCCGGCGTGACAAGCCGATATCCTAACCACTAGACTAATCGGAAATACATGCTTCGTGTCTCAAAAACAAAATTCATCAATCATTGCTCTGAGATAGTCGACCTCATGTATGAGCCAGCCGCTTCCCTCCCAATCATCATTTCATCTGCGAAGAACTTCTTTTCCTGGGTCAGCAGACTCCCCAGGTGCGCGGCGCATTCCCTTCGGGTGGTCTCACTTCTTAGTATCTGACAAGTGATGAGACGCCAACGTGCCACCCCTGAGAGATGTATCACCTCTCAAGTTGGCTGCATATCTATCATTCAGTTGCTTGTCCTCCAGTTGAAAGGGAAGTGAGCGTGAATTTCCACACTTCAGCTGACCGCTTTTTTCTTGACCGCATAATCAGTCTATCTCTTTGTCTTCTTGGTTTCAGGCGGGATACAACAACATGGCCACACCGTGAGATCGTCATTCAGGTTGGGCGATCACGGGCGCTTTAGCGCTTCCCTGACGCCAGTGGTCGGAATACTATAAAATCATTTCCCGTATTTTGTTGGCAATGAGTTCCTCGCCCCAATGTCTTCTTCTCTAGCTTCAAAAGCACATACGTTGCCAGCAGCTGCCTTGATGCTCGAAACGGTCGTTGAGGTTGACGAGAATGAGTATTGGGTAAGGGACTCCGTCTCGACACGGGGTTCCGAGACGCGCATGCTTGAGAGGGGAATGGACGCACTCGCAGCAGCAGTACAAGGTTGGTCTTCATAACGTCCCTGTTGTATCCTGATGCTGATCTGGGCTTCGACAGCATTCCACGATGGTGACTTGGATCGACCAGGCGAGAACGACCGTATCCGCAAAGGGTCGATCCCCAAGCCAATTCATTTGAGATCTTCCAGACCGGCAAATATGGAGCCTCAAAATAGTATTGGCCGTCGAGGATCAGTTGTCTCACGAATGCCATCGTCGGAGCTGGCAACTCTGGCCTGTGGCAGCAACTCAAATCGCCCTAAACCCGACTCCAGCGACTGCAAGCCTGGGAACAATACTGAGCAGAGTGTCTCACAATCAACGAGATTTCGCATGTGGGAGAAAAGTCTTCTGGGCTCTTTGCGGCAGATGCGGCTTGACGAAGAGAAGCGCCTCGTCGACCGACGGGAAAGCTTGCATATCGAGATCCCTGCCAGTCCCAGGTCTCCTATCGGCCGTCGACTTTCAGAATTACAGACTCCGCCGTTTCCGTCTCGCTCGAATGGCGAAGATCGGGGTGCGCAGGACGGCCACACCGGAACCCCATATGCAAGCTGCGGGGCTTATCAGCTTGTCTACGCCAACTCTACCCTGCAGGACCTTCATCATCAGCTCGACGATTCAAGGCGTTTCTTGGATTCAATGATCAAGCTCAAAGTAAAGAGTTCCGGGCCGGAGGAGAAGAAGAAGCAGGCGACAAGCACCTCCGAGACAATCGTGCGGATGCTTAACCGGCTTGATAATGCATGTGGAAGGATTCTGCGTGAACAGGACCTATTGGCAGATGAGATGGAATCAAGAGCCCCTGACGAGAAATGGAGGAGCATGCTCGACACCGTGATGGCTATGGCCAGTATCCTTCAAGTCGAGGGCAAAGTGGGAGAGGAGGCTTAGACATCGCAAATAGTGTGCCATGAATGAAACCGGAAGACTGGATGCTATCAGTCGACTTCCTCGACGTACATTGCCTCTTGTGCGTTGCCGATGATTCTTGCCTACGGAGGAGACGAATAGGGATAGCCTCAAACACCGCACAAGGCAACAGTGGGCTCAGTACCGATACAAATAGCCGCACTATTTCCAACACTACCTCGCCAGTACTCACACTACTTGGGTAAGGTGAATTAAACTAACCAAGTATCATCTCTACCCACAATCTAGCATCATCAACCCACCTGCCAAGGCGCCCTTTAACAATATCCGGTGAGGTGGCCGAGTTGGTTATGGCGCCAGGTTAAGGTCTCCTTAACAGATTTCCTGGTGGGGCAACCCGCGCGAGTTCGAGTCTCGTCCTCATCAATGTTTAGTTTTAGTTCTGACCAAATCTTTTGCTTCGAGAGCTCATCTGCGAAGTTTGCGAAGTTTTTGACGGGTAATCACGGTAGTGAGATGATCACAGGTGTGAGCAGCTGGCCGGATCTGCCGTGGCTTGGTTGGAAACATCATCCGCTTCGACGATGCAGATGGCGAAACTGACAAAAGATGGAGTAGCAAAGTCCATGAAAAGTGGAAACTGGGTCGTCGATGGAATTAACCTCAGATTGTCGCCATGGCGCGTGGAAGATCAAGCCCACATTTCAAGTCCAGGCACAACGTCTATAGTCCACCGTCTCATAGATATCGGGACATGATATCCTTCAGCTTCTGGACGGGAATGCCTTCAACCCTCCTCCCCTTGAAACCCTCCATAGAATCTGCCATGACGATTGAGTTGTAAATCGCTTCTTCCGTAGCGTCCGCCGCTGCTTCAAAAAGTCCATTGATGCCTGCATTATCGACAGCCTCGAGCTTCAGCGCTTTTGCCTTGTACGAGTTAAAGGCATCCGAGCCGTCCGTTGCCAACGTTTGCACGGGAACATGGTTTCCCGTGGAAAAGGCAAGAAAAAGATCGCCGGATGGGTTGTGTCCGTAGCCGCCGACGCGGGAGAGACCGACGGTCGCGCGCTTAGCGAGACGCTCGCACTGAGTTGGCGTAAGAGGAGCATCGGTGGCAATGATCACGATGATACTGCCGTCTTTGCGCTCCTTGTGGGCGGCGACATGGGCTTGCCAGTTGTGGTACTGATCGAGGACTTGAGATTGAATCTGGGCGTCTGCGGCGGACTGGGGATTATCAGCGTCGTCATCGTCGTCATCATCGAGTTCCATTTCGGAGTCTTCTTCTGTTGGACGTTCTTGTGTCTGGTTCTCCTGTATCTGCGGGGCATTGACTGATGACTGCACAGGTCCGGAGCCCTGCTGTTGTTGCTCTTGGCCCAGTGGCTGCTGCTGTTCCTGTCGCCGTCGAGCTTGCTGCTCGTGTTGAAGCTGCTGCTCCTCCTGTCGACGCTCCTGCTGACGACGTTGTTGTTGCTGCTCTTGAAATAACATATGCTCCTGCTCCTGCTGGATGATCTGCTGTCGTTGTTGCTCTATAATCTGTTGCTGACGCCGCTCTTGCTGCTGCATTTGGTGTTCCATCTGTTGTGTCTGATGGTGTTGCTGCTGTGGCGCTTGCGTTGCCGATGCTTGTTGCTGCTGTGCTTGCTGACCCTCCTGCTGCGGCGACTGCCCATCTCTTTGAAGAAGCGCCGCCTGCTCCTGCTCTCCCTGAAACAGAAGGATCCGTCCCACAGGAACACCACCAATGCGAAGGTGCGCCGCCTTGCCATAGTTGGCCTGGACCAGTACACCGACGGTGTATGGTTTGGGCTCACCGTCGGCATCCTGGCCCGGGACCACGCGTGAAGCCGAACCAGTGCCGCCCTTCCAGTGATGGCAGATCATGCCCGTGCCGCCGCCAGTGTTACCCTCCTTGACTGGCGCATCGGTGGCTTCGTTGATGCTCCGTACAATGTCTGTCGACTTGACGGTCATTTTGCAGATGTCGCTGAGGTAGCCATCAAAGGTCTCGGCGACGACGGGGATCATAAAGGACTTGAGCTCGCCGCTCTCAGTGGAATGGTGCTCTACAGCATATTCGTACACGCCCCTGACAGCATCACCGACGGCCAACGTGTTGGTGATGATGATGGGCGAGTTAAGGAGGCCCGTCTCGGCGATCCAATGAGAGCCGGTCATCTCTCCGGCACCATTGAAGCGGAAGATGCCAGCATGGCAAGCCTCTGAGAACCACTCCTTCCGAGGCAGAACGCAGGTGACGCCGGTGTTGACAGTCCACATGGGATGCAACGAGTGCGTCGAGACGAGGACGCCAGGCACATCGGTCAAGGAATTCTTGGGGCCTGGGGGCCAGGCACCGAGGAAGAGGTTGGGGAGGACAGCACGTATGCGGACGCGGGTGGAGGCGGCCTTCCTGGCCTCTGCACGGCTTCTCGCCGAGTCGCGAGGCTCGAAGCTCAGCGGCGGAGGATGATTATGCACGGAGTGGCCCGGTACATGGAGCCACTCTGTGCCGGTGTGCAGTAGGACGCTGGACCATTTACAGTCCGTTTTTGTAGATTTGGCATTTCGGATACCACGGCTCTGGGAGGGTTTGGGGCGGCCACCACGGTCGCAGACAAGGACCACGCGATAGATCTCGCCATTGGGGCGGGTCTTGGTTCTTAGGATGGTAACTTTAAAGCCGTAACTTGCAGTATGCTGCTTCAGGGCCTTGAGGAGATCCAACCGGTCGAAGCTAGTCAGAGGAGGATCTGGGTTCGGGCAGGAGACGGATGCCAGTGGCCCCGGCGGAGAACCATGTGTTGCTGCATCCTCCATCTGACCTGCTGAAGCTGCCAGGCGACGAGGATCCCGTCTTACAGGGCAAGAGTTGCGATGGCAAATATGGGGCGACACTGTTGAGCTGGCCCAAACGGGTAAAACTGGACGCTGTTGAAGGGTTGCAGGAACGGCCACGAACGCGTTACGAATGTATGTGCACGGGAAACAGGGTTGCGTGTGCGACGTACGATTGGATGGGTTGATGATGTCAGCACTTGACAGCCGAGGCTCCAGCCGTCGGTCTTGGGGAAGGAGCGAAGCAGCATCATTCCCCACGAACAGAGGTGGGGAATGACGCGGGGAAGGAAGACGGGACCGCAGACACCGCCTGGAAGATCCCCTGACGCTCCCGGAGCTCCCTAGATGGCGCTCTGTACCGTAGCTCCCCCCCTCCTACGATCGGAGGCCTTGACACTGGGCAGGACCTTCCGTGTGATGTCCGCCTCGTCTCCGTCACAGGGATTCCCACCACACTTCCTTCTTTTACCACCCCTCCACTTCAATGATACACCTTCCTGAGCCTCCTCTTTCAACACGGTCCCAGATTTGAGCATCATTATCCAGAATCTTCTCTTCTTCGTTTAGGTCAATTGGCACAGGCACCGAGTCAAAGACTGTACACGACGAGAAAGGCACATCCCTTCCACTCCCAACGCCCGCCATGCCTCCTTCACTTAGAGTGCTTCCTAACGTGAGTTCTCCTCATCCACGGCATGGCCTCTGTGTGCTCTCGCACTCCTGACACCTTCTCAGGCTGCCAAGCGTGCGACTAACCTCCTTCGCACCATTCAATACACACATCCTCCATCATGTCCCTGCCATTCGAACCCGAACCACCACCATCACCAAAAGATCACACCACGCCCCCTCCGTTCGAGCCCCAGCGCCAGCTCTCGCAGCTATGCCGCAACTGCCGGGCCACTCAAGGAGTATGCCTTTGAGATGGCCGCGTCTGCCATTCGTTTCGGTCCTGGATGCACCCAAGAGGTCGGCCTCGACCTGAAGAACATGGGCGCCGAGCGTGTCGCCGTCATCACTGACGCCACGGTCGATGGTCTCGTCGCCATGCAGCAAGTCCGCGAGTCTCTCGACCGTGAAGGAATCAACTACAAGGTCTACAATCAGTGCCGCGTCGAGCCCAAAGACTCTTCTGTGAAAGAAGCCATTGCCTGGGCTCGCCCCTACAATCCCTCGGCCTTCCTCGCTGTCGGTGGTGGCTCTGTCATCGACACCGCCAAGCTGATGAACCTTTACACCGCTTACCCTGATGCCGACTTCCTTGACTTTGTCAATGCTCCTCTGGGCCGCGGCCTTCCCGTAGACAAACCATTGAAGCCCCTCATCGCCGTTCCCACGACAGCCGGCACCGGCTCCGAGACGACTGGCACTGCCATCTTCGACCTCGTCTCCAAACGTGCAAAGACCGGTGTCGCCCACCGCAACCTCAAACCCACCCTTGGCATCTGTGACCCTCTCAACACGGCCACCATGCCCGCTGCCGTCAAGGCGTCTTCTGGTCTCGACGTGCTGTGCCACGCCCTCGAGTCCTGGACTGCGATTCCCTACACGGAGCGCACCCCCCGCCCCACGAACCCCATTAACCGCCCGGCCTATCAAGGCGCCAACCCTATCAGTGACGTCTTCTCCTTCCACGCCCTTCAGCGCACCGTCAAGTACCTGCCTCGCGCCGTCCGCAATCCCGACGATGCAGAGGCCCAGTCTGAGATGCTCCTCGCCGCTACCCTCGCCGGTGTTGGTTTCGGCAACGCTGGCGTCCATCTCTGCCACGGCATGTCCTACCCCCTCTCCGGCCAGAACCCGGCCAAGTACGTCCACGCCGGCTATGACGTGCCCCACCCCCTCATCCCCCACGGCGTCAGTGTCGCCGTCACAGCCCCTACTGTCTTCCGCTTCACGGGGCCCTCGAACCCCGAGCGCCACCTCGCTGCCGCAGAGGCCTTTGGTGTTGATGTCTCACGCGTCAGGAAGGAGGATGCTGGCGCCGTGCTCGGCGATGCGCTAGCCAAGTTCCTTGCCGATCTGGGTGATCAGCCCGCCGGCATCAGTGCGCTGGGATTCAAGAGCGAGGATATCGACGGGCTCGTCGAGGGCACGCTGCCGCAGAGGAGGGTGCTTATGCTTGCACCGGGATTAGAAGAGGATGTGGAGAGGGAGAGGGACCAGCTGAGGACTCTGTTTGAGAATGCCATGGCGCACTAAGCTCATATTTGTATCTGATCTTCAAGACCACATGGCTGGTCATGTCCTTATAGCCGGGGTTCATCGCCATGGGCATATTTGAACGTTCCTGCAATTCCAAGTTACACCTATCTTGCCCATGCTGCATTGCTCAGTAGACGAGCGCTTGGATCCCCCTCAAGCTGATCAATCTTTTACTTTGATAGGTTTGAGTCCGTGTATCTCGGCACTGTTTGTCCTGAAGTCGGTGGCTCGATTTCACCTACAGCCTGTCCGGCTGCCATTGTCGTCAGATGCGGAAAGACGGCTTTATACATACCTATTTACGTGGGTGAAGTCCACTTGATTTATGACAATGCTGGGCAAGGTCGCCAACACATTAACGAACCCTTCATTCTTGAGATGCGAAGGTGAACATACAAAGTCAGAAAAGGCAGCGACTCCCATGATAAAAGCTTGTGTCAGGAACATTGGTACGCCTTCACTGGATGTCGCTTCCCAACGGTTTGTTATGAAGCTCTATCCACCATCACTTGACTGGGTGCCATCTGTCCCGGGCAGCTGCTATGGTGAGGAGCTGTCGGAAGGCTCTAACAGTAGTAGGGCCCTGACTATGAGATCCTCTTACTATTTGACCGCCTGTCCTCTCCCTCCCGCTCCTCCTCCTCTTCTTCTTCTTCTTCTTCTTCTGCTTCTTATTCCTTCATCCTCTTCTTCTTGTTTTATTTTTATCTTCTTATTCTTTTCTATTACTTTTTAAGAAAGATGAATACTCAGAGGCGCGCAGAGAAGCGCGCCCTGCCCTTTATCCCCCCGCCCCCTCGCCCACGGCGCCCCCGGCACCCCCGGCACCACCGGCTGCCCCTACTCACCAACGTCGCGTCTTCCTCCACAAGTCAAAGTTTGCGACCTCTTTCCGCCGAGGAGTCCCATCGGCACCGACGTCAGCGGCAGCAGAAGCGGTCGCAGCCGCCGCTACCGCCGCGGAAGCAGTATGAGAAGCAGCAGCAGCAGCAGCAGCAGCAGCAACAGTAGCAACAGTAGCAACAGCTATGGCAGGAGCAACATCTGCTGCTGTTGCAGCAGCAGCAGCAGTAACACCACCTCCTGCACCGCCGGCCCCAGCCCCCGCTCCCGCTCCCGCTCCTGAGCCCACCCCAGTGCCGTAGTAGGTATTCAAAAAGTCACTTTCATTTCATTTCATCTTCTTTAGTCTTTAGCATGCCTCGAAGTCAGCTGGTCAGATGGACTAGCGAAGGGGCATGGTGGAATGTCGTTGAAAGGGCATAGGATGCGTTTGACGAGTTCCTCGATGCCCGGCCAAGGCGGTTAGTCACCCTTGCAATTTGCTCGTAGATAAATATATGCTCACGAGGATTGAAAATAGGCGCCAGCACGCGAAGGGCGCCTGGGCCATCATCGAGCTGGTGCTCACTAACATGGGCATCAACCGTCGCCAGCAATAATGGCCTAACTGGTCACATTAAATTGTTAGTTGGGTACCTAAGTAAATAGGCGATTGGCATTCTCGACGTCGAATGTCAGGAAACTGCAGGAGGGAGAGGGCATGGGATTGACACTACATTGCTTGGGCATCTGTGAAAAGGCAAGACAGCGAGTTGCAGTGAATGCCAGGCGGAAATTTGAAACTTCCATGTTGCGTAAGATACCTTAGACAGCATGTTCTGACATGTTGATGCGAGGACTTGTCAATCGGTGGTGAAGATGATATAGTCAAGATACAAGTCTCGAGCTCCTCGCATGGCGATGCGCATTGGTATCGGATGGATCATGTATGCTAAGAAAATTAAAACCACAGCATCATCTTTGGATGATTGCACATTTCTTCTCTCCCAGAATGGTGTTGAGCACAAGAGTCATTGGCCTGGCAGTCATGATAGTGCTTGTCGCAGAGTGTTAAGGAGGTTTGGCTGCTGACTAAGGGACATGCACTCTGTCTGCGACGCGATACGTCAACCCAATGCACCAACACCCAAAGCTCCAGCTCGTTCCAGAGCCAAAGGGGCCGACACGTCCATCGTCCTGGACCTCGAACCCCGACTCCAACATACCCGTCGCCCCAATCGTCAACGCCGTCAACCGCAACCATGGACGCCAGGGCGATGCGGTTTGAGGACGAGAAACGGCGCATAATTGAGAGCTGTTTCAGTAAGAAGGATGTCGACGGCTCCCGTACGTTCTCGTTTCTACCAGCACCGCAGCCATTGTCGTCCAGCTAACGCCCGCAGTCCTCGAAACCTACATAACCCACGTGCGAATCACCGAATACTCATCCTACCCGACCTCACCACCTCCCCCCCAAGCACGCGGACAGAATGCAGAGAAACCACGAATCATCATTGTCGCGGTGCGCAAGTCTGGCCGCGTACGGATGCACAAGTCGAAGGAGAACACGAATGGTACCTTTTCGATCGGCAAGACCTGGAACCTCGACGACCTGACCACCGTGGAATCCTTCACCGGCCCGACGGCAACTGCGCAGAACCGAGAATGGGCAGGCGATACTGGGTTCACTGTGACTATCGGCAAGCCCTACTTCTGGAACGCCCAATCCGACAAGGAGAAGAAGTTCTTCATAGCAAGCTTGATCAAGATCTTTGGGAAGTATACGGGAGGAAGGACGCCCGAGTTGACGGGCTTTGATCAGCGGGAATTGGATCAGGTTCTGGGTGGCGGCAGACGACCGCCACCACCGCAGCAACATCAAGGACAGCCACCGTCGCGCCCTACTACTTCAGACCAGCAACAAGGCCTTGGGCGACCCCCGCCTCTTCAGAATCCAGGGCAGCCACCGTCGCGTCCCACAACTTCCGATCAGCAGCAGGGCCCGAGCCGCCCACCGATGCCAGAAGGTGTGTCCAGCAATGTTAGCGGATTTTCAGCCTCCTCTTCAACGATATCCACGAATGCTGCTGCTGCATCGAACTATTCCCTTCAGCAGACCGCTGTGCCGCCTCCCGCCCGTCGATCGCCTTATATGCAGAACGGCACGAATTCGTCGAGTGGTAGCGTCAACTCGTCGATATCGCAAAACCAACCAGCCTTCAACCGACTTGCCAGTGCCAACAAAAGCCAAGAGTCTGTCGCTGCGTCCTTTGCGACGAGGAGCGATGATGCCTCTAGCCTGCCGCCAAGATCCAGAAATGGCCAGCCAGGGCCAGGGGCCTTCGGAAGATACGGTGATACTGCAGAACAAGTGCCAACAATACAACCGCAAACACAAGACGAGAGACCGCCCGAACGAAAGCGCCCACCGATGGATCCTTTGCGGCCCCAGGGTATTGCTGACAAGGATTTGGTACCCGCGCCATTGATGAGCCCAAGCATGCGACGCGATCCCGTCGCCCCTCCTCCTAGAAGCGTTGATAGGATGTCGCCCAGGAAGCCTTCAATATCGCAAAGGTCAGAGTCAAATTCGTACAAGGAACGGCCAGTCACGCCCGGGTCATTCAAGGATCGACCCGTCACACCAGCAGCTTCAGAAGCTGCACCCCCGCCGTCCAACGACGGCCCAGGAGATCTGAAGCCTCCTCGCAACGGCTCTGTATCAACGGTCTCCAGTGCTGCTCCTATGGCGGTACCAGAGCCCCCGCCGGACCCATCTCCAGTGGACAACGCAGTCGATGACGAGGAGTCCCGCCCAGGCCTTGGCCCCATGATCAAATCGAAGAAGTCCAAGGGCGAAATTGCAGGCGCGTTTTGGAAAGCTGCCAGTGCAGCCAACGCCTTTAAACCGCGACCGGGTGGTGCAGGAGAACGTTTGCGCCTCGCTGCTACCAAACCAAGCGAGGACGGGTCCGACGGAATCACAGGCGTCTTTCAGCCGCCTCCACGACCAAAATCCTCCGATGCCGACAAGACGCAGGTTGCCGAGCCCACTCCAGCCGCTGACGCAGTACCTCCGTTGCCAGAGGTCAAGATCACTGTGCCCAACTCGAGTCGCCCTGCAAGCCTGCAGCCCTCAATCAAAGAGGTCAAGCCGGCTGAAATTGAGGCTGTGAAGACCGACGATGCTATGCGCAAGGATGACCCTCGAAAATTTGTCGTTGCTGGGAACGATGCCAGGTATCTGGCGACGCTGGGTGTCGACCCATCAATAATGAACAACAAAAGCAGTGAATTCACGAAGTGGCTCGACTTTTTCGGCTGGGTTCCGGGTCAGCAAATGCGTTCACGACACATGGATGAATTGAGAATTGACGTCGATCGTGAGCTCAACAAGGCTCAAGCCGGTGGATGGCTGGCACGTTTTAAGGAGGACGATGATCGAGTCGATGGTATCAAGGGCGGTATCGATACCGCCATTGCCGAGTGCGAAGAGCTGGACAATCTTCTGACACTTTACAGCGTTGAGCTGTCAGTAAGTTGACAACTGTAAGCGACCCTTATAACATGCTGCATGGCTAACCGGAGCAGACGTTGTCGGATGATATCGCATACATTGAGGCACAGGGGCAAGGTCTGCAGGTTCAGACTGCCAACCAGAAGACCTTGAGAAAAGAGCTAGAGTCGTTGCTGGAGACCACGGCCATCACATCGAACGATCTTGGCGCCCTTCGAGGAGCACCTCTTGAGAACCTCAACGGCCTCGAGGATATTGAGCGCGCTCTCGTCACGCTCTACAAAGCTATGATGAAGATTGACCCGACATTAGGTGGTGACCAGTCAAGAAAAAGCAACGACGGCGGCATCGATAATGATCAGTCACTTGGTCTCGACAACAGTGACTATGGTAAAATGCGCATCGTCCAGGAGAAGAAGCAGATGTACATGCAAGAGAGCTCTCTATTCATGCGACGCCTTGTCGAATACATGGCGCGGCAATTCCAAGAGGCAACAAGCGAGACGAGCCGCCAGCTCGGAGAAGCACTGTCACGAAAGGTTGACTCGCACCACCACGATGCCGGCAGAGACCTCCTTTGGAAGTACAGTCCCCTGATCCTGTATGCCAGAGACGTCGATCTTAAGAATTGGGACCGTCTGCTGCAGCTGTATCAGGACTTGAACCATCCCGTCTACAAACGCGAATTCCAGCAAATCATGACGGCATGGAAGAAGAACGCCCGCAAAATGTCGTCCGACGAGACTTCTGAATTACTGTTCACGTCACATGCCGAAAAGAAGGAAGAAGGCATCGCCACGACTGCAAGGAAATTAACGGTCAAGCGTAGTCAGACTTTGGCCAAATCCCTTCGCAGCCCTCTCGACGGCAGCAGATCAAATCTCAAGTCAAGCGAAGGCCAAAGTCTGCCTTACGAGACATTTGGCTCCGTCCTAGACGATATTTTGCCCCTGGTCGAGATGGAACAGAACTTCATCGTGGATTTCTTTCACGCAACGACTCTGGACCAGTCAGACTTCCCGGACGCTGTTGCCGCTTTCAGGCCGAGGGACCGGCAGGGTGGTGATTTGAGGAGGCATCGCCTCATGGAGCCTGATCGAGATCTTGCCCGCAGAGTTACCAAGGCTATGGAGGTCATCTTCGTGTTCATGGAGAATGAACTGTCAGGACTTGTTCAATGGGTCCTGACGGTAGATAACCTGTATGTGCCCCTATTCTTTTTGCTTCTCTGCAAACGTCGGCTAACCATCTTATAGCCAAGGCGTTGGCGTGCTCGCTGCTATGGAGCGTAAAATGGCTGAAATTTCTCAGACCAACCAGGACTTCCTTAATACACTTCTCCAAAAGCTACATAGCACACTCGAAAGCCGGTTCAAGAAGTTTGTCGATGAGCAGATTCGCGCAATCGAGGAAACCAAAGTCAAGATCAATAAGCGAAAGGGCGTCATCTCGTTCATCCGCATCTTCCCCAATTTCTCCAGCGCCGTGGAGAACATTCTTAACGGAGTTGACAAGAACCTCAACATTCGCGGCACTGTCGATCGCGAGTATGACCGCATACTCAAATCCATGTTTGACTCGCTCAAGATCATCGCCAGAGAGAACCCCGCCGTTGCCGTCAACACGGGCGCCTCGGCTGATTCGGAGGATAAAGAAGCACTCAACTTCCATATCCTGCTCATTGAAAACGCAAACCACTTCCTCGAGGAGGTGGATGCGCGCGGGCTGGAGGTCCTCGAGGAGTGGCGTGCAAACGCCACGGCTGAGCTCGATGAACATATGCAGCTCTACATTGGTGCCGTCATGCGCCGCCCTCTCGGCAAGCTGCTCGAATACCTCGAGAACATTGAGGCGCAGCTCGCTTCCGGCAAGCCGGGCACCAGCATCGCTGCCCAGCCTTCTAACTCCAGGGGCGTCTTCAACAAGGTCGTCGGCAACTACGACGCGAAGGAGGTCCGTAAGGGCATCGAGACGCTGCGAAAGCGTGTCGAGAAACACTTTGGGGACGCCGACGACCCAGCTCTCAGCCGGAACCTCGTCACCAAGGTGCTCAAGGAGTGCGAAAAGTTTTACGGGGACGTGGAGCTGCGCATCAGTCGCGTGACGGCTGATGTCTACAACGGGGACACGTTGTTCGAGTGGCCCAGGGCGGAGGTGAAGAGCGGCTTTTCCGGGCTTGGCAAATAACCTTGCCATGCTTGTCATCTCTGGGGGAAGGCTCGTGGTAATGGCGTCATTGTGTATTCTCATCATGAAGGGAGCGAGCCGTCTTCAATGCTACATGCGATTATCCGTCCAAGTTGTGCCCTGTTGCTGCTTGAACGCGTGACTGTTGTATCACAGAGTTCTACCTGGCTTGCCTGTTTCATGCTCGTGTTTCGCTGGCTCGAGCAATCTGGCTGGGTGAAGGAAAGGGGGATGTTTCAACTTTCATTTTGGAAAGGGTATGTATGGTTATCGCAAAAGACCTGTCCATCACGAATTCGCATCACATCTCAGTCACGGCACGAGAGGACAATAGAAGTTGAAAACAGAGCAGGGGTTTCTACCCCTGCCACAAAGACGCATTATGATTAAAAAACGACAAATAGGTATCATCGATCGGAATAGAAGTGCGTTGCTCCATGCCAGTCATGCAAATCCCTTCTCCCCCACCTTTTCTTCTTTTTTTTCACCGGTGAGGGCAAGGGATTTAAATCATCATCTTCATGCAGGGGGGGTGTGTTGTCATGAAGCAAGGGGCCGTTAGAAAGAGAATTCGTTCAAACGTTCAACAGTGTCGCATCACGCCGTGGCGGCGGCCTCGCCCTCCTCGACGGGCTTCTCCTCGACGGACACGGACGACTTGGCGTCGCCGTTGGTCTTCTTGTCGCTGACCTCGGCAGCGGCGGCCTTGGCGCTGGCGAGGGCCTCCTCGAGCTTCTTCTCGCCGGCGGCGAACTTGTCGAGGGCGGCCTTGGTCTCCTTCTCCGCGGCGGCGAGGGCGGCCTTGGACTCGTCAAGCTGGGTCTTGAGGTCGGCCTCGGCCTTCTTGGCCTTCTCGGCGGAGGCGGTGAGGTCGGCCGTCTTGGACTCGAGGTCCTTCTTCTCGGTTTCGGCGGCGGTCAGGCTGACCTTGGCCTCGTCGAGCTGGGACTGGAGCTTGGACTGGGATTCCTTGAGCTCCGCCTCGGCCTTCTTAGCCTTGTCGGCTTCGGAGGTGAGGTCGGCAGTCTTGGACTCGAGAGTCTTCTTGTCGTCTTGGGCAGCAGTCAGGGATGACTTGGCAACATCGAGCTGGGCCTTGAGATCAGATTCAGCCTTCTTAGCCTTCTCCGTCTCGGCGGCAGCCTCGGATGCCTTGGTCTCGAGGTCCTTCTTCTCCTGTTGACGATTAGCATGGAACCGAAAGCACGCGTGTGGATTCGGGGCTCTTACCTCCTGGAGAGACTCGACCTCGCTAGCAGCCTTCGTCGCCTTACCCTCGGCAGTCTCGGCCTGCTCCTTGAGCGCAGAGAGCTTGCTCTCGTCGTCCTTGCGAAGCTTCAGCAGGGAGGCGTGCTCCTCCTGCAGGTCCTTAGCCTTGACGCCAGCAGCCTCCTGCTCCTTCTGCAGGGCCTGAATCTTGGTCTCGAGCTCACCGGTGGCCTTTGCCTGGCCCTCAGTCGCAGACTTGAGCTTGGTCTCAAGCTCGGAAATAGCCTTGGTGGCCTTCTCCTTCTCCTCATCAGACGCCTTCAGCTTGGCCTCGAGCTCAGCAGCGGCCTTGGAAGCCTTCTCCTGCTCCGTGGTGGCAGCCTTAAGCTTGCTCTCGAGCTCGGCAGCAGCCTTGGCAGCCTTCTCCTGCTCTTCCGCCAGCTGCTTCTTCGCAGCCTCAGCGTCGGCAGTAGCCTTGTCTGAGCTGGCCTTGGCGGCCTTCTCAGCCTCGTCACGAACCTTCTTCAGCTCAGCCTCGTGGGCCTCCTTGAGCTTCTTGGTCTCGCCCTCGACGCTGGCACCGGCCTTAGTGGCCTCGTCGCGCGCCTTCTGCAGCTCCGACTCGTGCTTGGCCTCGGCGGCCTTGCTCTGATCCTGGGTAGAGGCGAGATCCTTCTTGGCAGCCTCCAGATCCTTGGTAAGGGTGTTCTGGGACGCCTCGGACTTCTCGGCCTTCTCCTGCCAGGTGGCGGAGTCCTTCTTGGCGGCCTCGAGCTCGGAAGTAGAATTCTTCTTTAGAGATTCGTTGGTCTTCTCGAGCTCGGCAAACTTGGCCTGGAGGTCGGCCAGGTCCTTCTTGGCCTGGGTAGACTCACCAGCCGAGTAGGCCTGAGCCTTGTCATGGGCGGCCTGCAGGGTCGTGTACTTCTCGTCAGACTCGGCCAGACTCTTCTTGGCGGCAGCGAGTTCACTGTCGGCAGAGGCCTTGTCCTTGGACTGGGAGGCCTCAAGAGCGGCGAGCTTCTCCTGTGTGGCAGCGAGCTCCTTCTTCGCGGACGCGAGCTCCTCCTCCGCAGCCGACTTCTCCTGAGTCTGAGACTCTTGCAAGTCGGTGAGCTTCTTCTGAGTGTCAACGAGCTCCTTCTTGGTGGCGGCGAGCTGCTCCTCAGAGGCAGACTTCTCCTTGGACTGCGAGGCCTCGAGAGCAGCAAGCTTCTCTTGCGTCTCGGCAAGCTCCTTCTTGGTGGCAGCAACGGCAGCCTCGGAGTCGGCCGAGGCCTTGCCCTGGGACTCCTGAAGAGCAGCCAGCTTCTGCTGGGTGTCGGCAAGGTCCTTCTTGGTAACGGCGAGTTCCTCGGCGGAAGCAGCCTTGTCCTTGGTCTGAGCCTCTTGCAGGGCAGCGAGCTTCTCTTGCGTCTCGGCCAACTCCTTCTTGGTGGCCGCCACGACGGCCTCTGAGTCGGCCGCGGCCTTAGTCTGTGATGCCTCGAGGGCAGCAAGCTTCTCCTTGGTTTCGGCGAGCTCCTTCTTTGTGGCGGTGACCTCAGCCTCGGAATCGGCAGAGGCCTTGCCTTGGGACTCCTGCAGAGCGTTGAGCTTGGCCTGAATCTCGGCAACCTCCTTCTGGGCGGCGGCGAGGTCAGCCTCGGAGCTGGACTTGAGCGTCTCGTGGCCCTTTTGCAGGGCACTCAGCTTGTCGTTGGCATCTACGAGGTCCTTCTTGGCAGCAGACAGCTGCGTCTCCGACTCGGTCTTGTGGGTGTCGTGGGTCTTCTGCAGAGTGCTGAACTTGTCCTCGGCCGCCGACAGGTCCTGCTTGGACGTGGCGAGCTGGGCGTCCGTGTCGGTCTTGAGCTTGTCAAGAACCTGCTGCAGGGCCTTGTAGGCCTCGTCCCTTTCGCCGAGCGTCTTAGACGAGGTGGCGCCCTCGGCCTCGAGCTTGCTGAGGGCCTCCTTCAGGGCGCCCTGGCTCGTCTCGGCGTCGGCGAGACGGGTCTGGAGCAGGGTGATCTCGTCACGGAGCGAGGCCTCGAGGGTGTCGCGCTCCTCCTTGGCCGAGGCGAGCTGCTTGTTGAGGCTGGCGACGTCATCGGCGAGCGTCTTCTTGTCGAGGTGCAGCTTGTCGAGCTCCTCCTGGAGGCGGGTCAGCTGCTTGGTGGCGGCCTCGAGCTCGGAAGCGTGGGCGGCGGAGCCCTCGGCGGCCTTGGAGTTGGTGGCTTCGAGCTCTAACTGCAGCTTCGCGATGCGGGTCTGGGTCTCCTGCTCGGTCGAGGTCGACTTGTCGGACAGCTCCTTGATCTTGAGGCGCAGGTCCTCGGCCTCGCTGGAGAGGGTTGTGTACTCCTTCTCCTTCTTGGACAGGTCCTTCTCGAGCGCCGTGATGGTGGACTCGCGGTCGGCGAGCTTGTCCTCGAGCTCTGCCTTGCGGGATTCGATCTGGCCCTGGCTGCCGCCAGAGATGGCGGAGACGACGTTGCCCATCGTGTGTGCGGGGGGGGAGGAGGAGGAGGAGGAAGAGGAGGAGAGGCGGTGTGGGCAAGCCAAAGGCTAGGAGGGAGGGACAAGAGGTGGTTTGGTTTGCAAGGAGATGAAGGAATTGCCAACCAGGAATGTATGAACCACGCAGTTGCTATGAAAGCTTGCGAGGGGAGGAAGGCGAGGGATTTGAGAGAGAAGAGATGCAGGAGGGAAGGGAAAGCGGCGGCGGGTCGTGGAAGTTTGCACCCCAGTGATGTTTTTTTTTCTTGCGCATCATGGGGGCGTCCTGCTGCTGGGTGTAGCGGTTCCGCCGTTCACTCGGTGACAAAATGAGCTGTCGAAAAGACGACAGGGACCCTGAGCGTCTGCCCCACCATATCACCTGAACCGACCAGAGTTATTGGCAGCTAGAGGCCTAGAGCCCCCCTCGAGGACGGGGCACCCAAGCCTTTTCCAACCCGCCGAACCCGCTGGAGCTGCCCAAAACGCCCTGAAGCCGCACCCCCTGGACCCCCGGTTGTCTTAGCGCTCCTAGCGTGAACGCCTAGCCGCCCATCTCGCCGCCCATCGTGCTGCAGCTGGCAGCTGCAACCACTTAACGCCGCCGTTGGCCGCTGTTAGTCATCTTCATACACCGACGTTTGACTCGGCATCTCTTGACATTTGACTTCTCTCTCTCTCTCCCTCGCCCTCACATGGGACCCCCACTACCACCACAACCACCTCCAACCCGCCCACCCAACGCGAGATGAAGCCCATCTGCCGTCTATCCACCTCACCTCGGTCTACCCGAGAGCATATTTCACATGATGTGCAGAGTGAGGCTTCGAACATACATATCGTTCATGCATCCAATGCCTGCATCTGGCAGCACGTACGCACACAACGCAACCCACCCAACCCAGACAACGCATGCCTGCATGGTTGGCCGACTGGCTGGCGGGCTGGCAGGCTCGCCCAACCACGTCGCCTCACGCCCAAGGCGGTCAGGCTCGACTTGACCTTCCTTCGTCAGGCTGCCACGACATCAGGCTGATCATCGCCGACAACGCATCATCCAATGCCCTCCATCTCCTCATCGCCTCGATTCTGCTGCATCGTCGTTCTCCCTCGGGGAGCTCGGGGAGGCAGGAGTCAAGACCTCCCTGGGCCGTAGCCAGCCAACAGCTCCGACCATCTCACCGTCGTCCGAGGTGTGATCGACACCTAGCAGCGCTTGGACGCTTTCCCCCCATCCATGTCTTCACATGTTGTGTATATGAATGTTTAGGCCGACTGTCTCTGATCCGAAACGAACGGCACAAAATCCGTCAGGCGTCAAGCTCGAGCATCTCATCTTCGGGTCTCGGGAGAAGCCATTTCTTGACACTCTTCATGTCCAATATGTTTCTTGACGCATGGCATGGGACCGCCTCGGAACGAGACCTGCAACTCAAGATTGCCGAGGATCACCGAGTCAGAACCACAATTTGGCTGATGCCTCAGGAGTGGTGATCCACGAACGCTCCGTGCCGAATGTGGGGCCGGGCCCTGTTATCGGCACCGGTGATGATCCGTCCCAATCTCGGAGGTTACGTCTTCAAAACACAGGTCTCATCCTCTCATGACCAATCTATTCGCCTAGTGATGAGCTGGGAGGGATAATGTCCTGGTGGGACCAACCCGTGCTTGATTGCAGGCACCAACTGAACCTGTAACCTCAAGCCCACGGCCACGTTGACAACTCCTGGCCCAGAGTCAGAGCCATCATACCCAGGACGGGCGACAGGCAGACGACACATCTCTAGAACGATCAGTGCATGCAATGAACGAAGCTGAGGTCGACCCCCGGTGTCCGGAAGCCAACTTAAGAACGCACCTGATGGATAGAAGATGGGCAGCCACCTTACATGATGTGGTCGCGTGTGAGCCGTTGGTGGTCAGCGTAGCATCCATCCAAACGCTGTTAATCAATTGCGCCTAAAAACAACATGCGGAGATGGCGCGTCATCGACTTTCTTTGAGCGCTGGTTCGCCTGGCGGGGCGGCATCCTCCCTTCGGAGCGTCGTCTCCGAACATGAATCGGACACGGGAACCAACATCATGGCCATTTGTCACTGCAAGTAGCAACGCCAAGACAAGATGATCGATCAATTTCTCAGACTAGGCTTCCGATATCTCACACATCACGCCTTCAGCTTACTCTGCTCATCGAATAAGTTGCATTTTCTCATTCTTCGTCCTTGATGGGGTTAACGTTGACGCATCGTGCTGTGACTGACCACAAAAAAGAGAGATCTGCAGGGCGCCATGTCTGACATATCCCTTAGGGAGCCGCCATGGCCAGGAATGTTTCATCCGCACTATATTCCTGCAGCGGATCGCATCCTTTTGATATATTAATCGGTTTCCTGAGGGATATAGAGCAAGTTCTTTTCCGGCACGCGTTCATCGCGGACGTCTCGCGATCCAAACCTGAAATCCTGAGAGAGAGATAGGCATTCGATCATGCTATAAGTCCTACGATGGGGATGGGTTGACAGCGGGAATGACCGAGGCCCACGATACAATCGACAGAAGGACGCTTCGTATCTCAGTATGCACAAGACGTTACCCCTCCCATAGTCTTCGACCATGATTCTCTCACAGCCTCTCTCATCCCTGTTAGCTTTGGCTTCCCTAGGCGTCCAGCCTACTGCAGGCCACAATCTTCATCTGCGCCAGCCTTCCGATGCATGCAAGTCCATATCGATTCCTGAAATTCCAGGTGCTGAGGTCCTATCAGTCAAGTCTGAACTTCGCCTGGACCTCACCGGGCCGGCTTGGGATGCCGAGAACCAGAAGCTCACTACCCTCGGGCCACTGGACTTCTGCGAGGTGAATGTGACTCTCACCCATCCCGGCGCAAACGACGAGGTCACCATCTGGGTGTGGCTTCCCCTGAAGCAATGGAATGGCAGATTCCAGGGAGTCGGCGGCGGCGGCCTGCAGGCCGGTCGTTACAGCCTCGACACACTGGGCCTAGCCGTCAAGGACGGCTACGCTGCCGCCGCGACGGACGGAAGCGCCTTTGGCGACGGAGCCAACAATCCAGATCCGGCTCTCTTCCTCAAGCCAGGAGTTCTTGACCTCGAACGCCTCACCAACTTTGCCCACCGCGCACTGCACGAGGTAGCTGTCGTCGGCAAGGCCGTGACGACAAGGTTCTACGAGACCACCGACTTTTACTCATACTGGACTGGCTGCTCCACAGGTGGGCGGCAGGGATATGAGCTAGCTCAGCGATACCCCGAGGACTTTGATGGCATATTGGCCAACGCTCCGGCTCTGCACTGGTCTAGCTTCGTCTTGGCTTTGGGCTGGGGCCGGCACGCTATGCGAGTCACCGGCCATACGCCGACCTTTTGTGCTATGCAGGCGTTTACCGCTGGGAGTGTCGATGCGTGCGACGCGCTTGACGGCGTCAAAGACGGGGTCATATCGGACCCGAATGCCTGCCATTTTGACCCTTCTTCGCTCGTTGGCGAGAAGGTGAAGTGCATGGACGAGACGACTCAAGTCATCACCAAGGAGGATGCAACGATCGCGACGATGATTCGCGAGGGTCCCAAGTCGAGCAGGGGCAGGAAGTTGTGGGATGGTCATGACTGGGGCATCAACTACCTCGGCCTGGTTCCAGCCGCTGTCAGCGGCATCCCAGAGGCTATGGACAGACTCGTCGACTCCTGGATCGAGTACTTTATTGAAAAGGACGTCGACTTTGACGTCTCGACTCTCACGGCTATTGACGATATGACCGATCTCTTTGCCGTGGCACCGGGCACGTACGATAGCATCATCGGGTCCAACAACCCGGATCTGTCTGCTTTCAGGGACGCCGGCGGAAAGCTCATCAGCTGGCACGGCACGGCCGATCAGCTCATCATGATCAACAACACCATCCGGTACCGCGAGCAGGTCGAGGCCGTCATGGGCGGAGCGGATCTTGTGGACGACTTCTACAAGTTCTACCTGGCGCCCGGCGTCGGGCACTGCGAAGGCGAGGCTGGCGCCACGCCGCGGAAAGTCTTGGATGCGCTAGTGGCCTGGGTTGAGAAGGCTGAGGATCCGGGGCGTCTGAGCGGGACCATGAAGAACCTCGACGGCGAGGAGGCTGAGAGAATCATCTGTCCGTATCCGCTGGTCCCGCGGTACGACGGCGCGTCAGACCCGAACGATGCGCGCAGCTTTGATTGCGCCGCGTCCTTTCGGCCGAATGTGACGCGCTGCAGGTGAGAATTCCGCTCTTTGCGTTGACATGGAGTGCTTGTATATACAACGCATACCGTACTTGGGATTAGCTATGCCTCAATGATGAACGCTTACTTGTGTGAGGAGGTCATAACGACGCTGCCTGTATCGTGTCAGGTTCTTACGTTCTCTACTCTTTGATATAGTTTACTCTTGTTCTTTTGTGTAAAGAGGGCGTCTCGGGCGTAAAAATAAGGACTTGGGCCTAGTTTGCGTTTGATGCGTCGTGATGATCTTTAACGATGTAGCCTTTGTGGTTTCTGGACTGCTCTTGGTTTCATCAGTGAGAGGTTTCGCATGGCTAGACGCCAGTTACGAGATCTCGGGCTCTGTGGCAGGTCTATGCAAGTTCGCTGATCATAGGACGCGCCAGGCTTCTCCTTGACGTCAGGCTCGGGAAAGGTCTATAAACAATCATCAACAGGAGCCTTTTGCTACTTATTCTGTAAGCCCTGGCTGAAAGACTGAACTGTGTTCAACATCCTCGTGAGTCCCTCCTCCAAATACTCCTTCTCATGTGCAAAGACAATGCGGAAGCGCCCAGCCACGTCGCTGCCAAACGCTTTACCGCAAGCCAGAAAAACACGGTTCTTCAGCAAGGTCTCCTGCAGCTGGGCCTCCAGAGCCCACAGCTCCGCCTCCGGCAATTTGATCTCGACGTTCTTCTTCATCCACGCGAACAGGTCGATCCACACGAAGAAGCCGGCATTGCCGCCCTTCTCGTAGGGAACATCATTTTCCCTCAGAAAGCGGGTGGTGACGGCATAGCTAGCCGCAAGGCGTGCCTGGTTCGTTGCGACGTAGGAGTCGACAAAGGCTGTATCAGCTAAGATTCTGGCCGTCGCTTGGTCCGTCAGCGCTGATGGACAGGTCCAGTAAGCATTCGCTTCGACTGCCTGCTGGAATGGCTCGTTTGTGCTTATGATGCATCCCAATCTGATGCCGTTGGAGCCGAAATCCTGCCATTTTGTCAGCTTGAAAACTGGACGCCAGTTTACGAAAGTCTCTACCTTGCTCATTCCCCAGAGAACATGTACCAGATCTGAATCGATGAGGTTTGTCGTGTCAATCGACAGGGCTGATGTGAAACCGGGAGCATCGGCCGCGTCGGGGTTGTCCCAAATCGAAAGCGCGTAGATCTCGTCGCTGAGCAGATGGAGGCTGTACTTCTGGCAAAGTCGCATGTAACCTTCAATGACGCTGCGAGGGTAGCAGCGGCCTGAGAGATGAGCTGTCAGCCTTCATGTTCATCAATAGATCAATAGCACGGTGTCTTTGTACGAGGCATGGCTCTCTGGGGCATCACTCACCAAGTGGGTTATGGGGATTGCAGAGGATCAATGCTTTGGTGGCGATACCTCTTTCCTTTGCATCCAGCAGCGCCTGCTCATAAAAGGGGATGGCTTCTTCGCTGAGGGGATCAATTTCCCCGAATGATACTGCAACGATTTGCGCCCTGATTTAGCATTAGCCTGCAACTCTCGTAATCTGATGCTCTGCGCCTGATGTTCGGGAAGCGCAAAGATGGAACCATACCCTGCCCTGGCTCCCATATCACTAGGAAATGTGCCGTAGTATGGCCGCCCCAGTAGAATGCCATCTCCAGGGTCGCAAAGCGAGAACGAGCTCAACTCCAGGGCCGGGCCCACACCCGATGTGATGGAAACATGCTTCTTGAGCACCGGGTTGACTGGGCGGAAACGCTCATTGATAAAATTGGCCGCAACTTCGCGGAGGAGATGGCTGCCGGTGAAGCCATCTCCGTAGGTGAGGAAGTGGCTCTCAATGTTGAACTATATGATCGCATGAGCGACATGATGGCTTGAGGCCAGGGAACCTGGAGGAGATGTCTTACGGTCTTCTTCATGTACTCGATCATCTCCTTGTGCATCAATGTCTGCAAGCGCTGTGTGAGCATTGATCCCTCGCCATGCGGACGAAATACTCACGTTCTCGGCGACTCCTAGACTCAGGTACCCTCCAGGGTTGGACTCGGGATGCCACAGATCACAGACCACGTCCAACATCGGCGGCCTACTGGCCGGCTCGGCGTGGATGTCGCCTCGGACCGAAAGACGTCCTGGTCTCGCCATGATGAACAATTGATCTTGATGCTCGAGATTTATCCGCTCAATTAGTCAAGAGGTAGATGGCCCTGCCAGATCATGCTCTGGATGAGGATGGTGGAGGAGAGGTACTTGTGGTCCTTTATATATGTCCTCTCATAATTCCAAGCCTCTAAACTAGCCATGACTCGCCAGGTGCCTCCTGAAAAAAAGAGAGAAAGTTAGTCACCGCATGTAGACACTTAGCGCCCCTCTACGCCCTGCGCCCTGCGCACTCTCGCTTTGCGTTGCCAGCCGATCTCGGTCAAGAGCTCCCACATAACAGCAATTTTACATATTCATGGCGTTGATTTGAGGCGAGGTCTCAATTGACGTGCGTGGAATCTCAGATTGCGGGGTAACTATGTTGTGGATTGCGGGGTAGCAAATCGGAGTAAGAAATCGGGAGTCAAGATTTGGCGATTCGGACTCTGCAAGTTTGACGCCTCACAATAGGAGACGCAACAGACATATCCTTCAGTTGAGGCATCTTATAACTCTGCGTCCCATGCCATAGTTTGGTCTCATGAGATCTCCGGCTCCCAGGATGCAGAAGTTGGATGTTGCCAAGACTTGCCTACTGGCCAACAGATAGATTTTGTCGAAGCGGGATTGGCGCTATGAGACATGTCAGGCACGGTGACGTCCAGGAAAACAGTTTGAATTTCCAGTCATGATTCAAGCTATGAAGGCTCTCACTGCATCGATGATCCGCTGGGAGCAGTACGGCGCATGTCGGGTTCATGAGGCTAAGACGAGCAAAGGGTACCACCATGTTATTCCCGGGCCTCCTAATCAAGCCCCACGGCCAGATCTGGCTCTGCTATGTAGGCTTTGCTCCTTGAGGTAGTAGCGTTCTTCACGACCAAGATCAACTGTTACCGGGACAGTGTGTCCAGCAGACCACCAGATGCTTGCTAATCTTGGTACTGAATAATACCCTTGCTGCAGGTTATGGTCAGCAGCGGTGTAACATCGTGCCGATTGCGGATTGATGGCCTCTTGAGATTCTCAAGAGCTGTAGCTCTTGACTTGCCGCCAATTTGGCGCCCCATGTTGAGCTTGGGAAGCAAGGCGCGCGCTTTACTCTCCTCATCATCACGTATGAGTTGTACTACTCGAAATTCGCTTCTGAGACACTAGAAATGATAGAAAGAAGTCAGTAGTAGGTTTTCGCGGTGCAAGATTCGCATCCAAATTCGAAACCCCGCGATCCTCAATGAGGATACCCTGAGCGTTGGTGCCTGACAGGGGTCTCGCCTTTTCTCGACGGCCTCCGGTCTGCCCGGCACAGCCATTGGCCAAGGCTGATTCAAGACCAGCCCTGCAGACCCTGAGACCCCTGGCAGGGCGTCTTGTAGTCGGGTTTGAACGAATGGGCTGCGAAAGGCTGACTGCACAGCATTGTGTCGTGGCTGCAAGCGATGGACTCTAAAATGAGAGGCGTGAGCCTGATCAGTGGTGATTTATTTAAGGGGACAGCTCAATTCAGTGCCGCCGGTCACGTCCTCCTCGTGCCAAATCCAGATTCGTGCCATCAACCAGAGCAACATTCACTCCGATTTGAGTCCGCATCCGCATCATGGAGCCAGATCCAATTCATCTGGGGCAGCACGTTGTGCGCGCCATCAGCAGTGCCAATGGCATTGCGATCATGTCCTTGTCCATCTACATCGACGCCCTCTTCGATGTAGAGTTCAAGCTAACCATCAGCACGGTGCGTCACCACCATACAGCAGACTATTAGAAGGTATCCGGGCTGAGTCAAAGCTCACTAACTCTGCAGGCCATTCTCATCGTTGTGTGGAACTCCATCATCTTTTATGGCTACTGGGCGTACGGCCGAGGCCGTAAGGTCGCCCCCTCTATCCTGGCCACCATGACATTAGTTCGCCTGTTGTTCGGCGACATCTTCATCCTCATCCTAAGCTCCATCTCCGCAGGACTCGTGGCTGCTGTGGACCTCAAGAACTTCCATGCCGGAGCTGTAAACAGCGATTTCGAGGCCGATCCGTGGAGGATGATCGTCTTCGGTCTACAAATTGGCAACATGTATGCATTCCGTGCTACTCTACATCGTTTTGACGGACTAGCATCAGACTGACAGCTAATAGTCTGCTCCTCGCAATCGTTGTGGGATGGAATATCGCCACGTGCGTGCAGCAATGGAAGGCATATAGAGCAGACAGGCTCACTTGGGGAGGAAATGCTTGAGCGGTGACTACGCGGTGTGGTGGCTCAGAGGCGTTGTTGCAGTTAATTTGCGTTTTCAACCTGACTCGCTTGGTACTTTGTCCTGACGATCATCATTACGTTAGGGTTTAAGTTTATCTCTTTCAATTCAGTTCTGTCTAATTGAAGATACCTCGGTCAAGCGTTGACTGTATGCACTTCTTCATCTTGGCAACACATAGTCATACAGTGCCCTCATTAACTGATTAGGGCGTTACGGGAAGTAACGTCACCGAGGAGCAGGGCAGTACACGCCAGTTACTTTACCAGCATGGCGAATCTTCATTAGCGCCCCAGACAGGCATCACTGGCTACTCTGAGTGACACGAGGAAGGCTGTGTTTAAGTGTCCAGACAGGCCGACTTATTTCTTTGGATCTAGCAAACTGAAAGAGGAAGACTACGTCGTACGTATTACGTTGAGCAGTTGGTTCACTACATGGGCTGTAGTGACGTAGCCAGACTTTAGACCGTGCGTACGAACATTCTCTCCAGCCTTGCATCCATCTGGATAGTCTTCTCGGGATCTTCAGTAGCTGCGACGAAAAACTTCAGCATGTTCATTTTGATCACGAATGACTTCCAAAAGCTATACAATGCTATTTTAGTTTAAGTGTTTTACTATGTTCAATGATACATTAAGGGAATTAACGACTGGCGTGGTCTGATTGTATGACAGACTGCATTTGTCCTGTGTCTCGCAGGGCACGTTTGAAACAAGAAGCGGTTGTGCCGTTGCCCCGTCTCCCGGTACTCCAGTCCTGTGTTCCATGAGTCGCGTCCCTCATCCTGTCTCGATATTCATATGCCTGCGATGAACGTGCAACGGATAATCAAACATTTTATTTCGTCTCTGTGCGGAGACCCTTACTGCGGGCGGATCGCGCCCTTCTCGTTCTGGCTCCACTTGCCGTGAATGTACTGACGAACATTTTTGCCCCAGAAGGCCAAAGGCACGGCGAGAACGCCCATGAGGACGAGAAGGGCAACGAGGACGGCGCAGGGGCCGAGGATGTTGCCGCTCTTGGCCCACTCGCCAAGGTTAAGAGCGAGGACGGAAGCCAAAACGGTGAGGGTAAAGAGCTCAGTAGAAAGAGAGGCAGAAGCCCAGGGAGGGAAAGCCTCCGTGATCCAGATAATGGTGGCGACAAAGCCGCAGATGAAGCTGAAGTTGGCGAGGCCAAAGTTGATATAGTGCGCCGCGGGGGGCCACTCGTTGGTGATAGCAGCCGCGTGGAGACCGATGCTCGTGGCGCCGGCGACGACGGGGATCATGAAGCCGATGAGGTAGACTTCGGCCTGGCGTGTACCGCCCGAGCGAGCTGTGAAGAGGCGCGTGCAGCGAGCAATGAGAGGGCCGGAGGCAAAGTAGGCAAACACGGACGAGATGCCACCGCTAATGCCGAAGAAAGTGTTCATGAGTCGCAAATCATCGCCCTCGAGAGTCTTGGAGAGGAAGACAACCTGGGTGAGGTTGAGGAAGACCACATTGCAGAGAACGGCAGCGCCTAACACACTGACCCAGAGGACAAGCGGGTTGCAGAAGCAAAGAAGCATTTGCATGTAGATGGCGCCGGCGGCTTTCCACTCCGTGCCGATAGCTCTGGTAACCTTGAGGCACTGTCGACGAAGCGAAGACTTTGGTTCGTCGGCCAACTCTCTGTGGGGGTCTCTGCCCTCTGCATCAAGATCCTCCCAGTTGTCGTAGATGCGGACGGTTTCTGAGGAGCTCTGTGTGAGGATGCGACCATCCATGGCAACAGCGGGGCGAAGAAAAAAGCTTTCCGGGATGAAGAAGTAAATGACAAGTAAAGATACGACGCAGGGAATAATCCACACCCTGTAGACTGGCTTCCAGTTGACGGCTGTGTCAGTGATGTATGGCAAAGGAATAAGAAGCATGCTGATCAAGCCGGTAGTGATTGACCAGTAGAGAGCCATGGCATAGGGTCGTTCGTTGACAAATGTAGCGTCCAAAATATACAATACGCCCTGGATACATCGACAGTCAGCCATCTGAGTATATATGGAAGTGCTGTCAATGGCAAGGACTTACAATACCAAAGTTCTGTCCAACAGCAAGACCTTGGAAGAAGATCGAGATGGCCAGACCGATGTAAGTTTCGGTAAGACCAGCAGATATGGTCGAGATACAAGTGAGGAGACAGGTAGCAAGAAGAATTGGTCGACGGCCGACAGCCGCAGAGAGGGGAATAGAAACAAGGTACCCGAAGCCGTTTGCGATGACCACGAGTGTGTTGAGAGACTCAACGTTCCGGTGGCCGCCGTCCTGCTTCTTGTTAGCCTGGCCGGCACCAGAAGCTGTGGAGATGAAACACTCACCTCTGGATCAAACTCATGATGGAAGGCTCCCATGAGCGCTGCCGGCAGCTTATTCTCAAAGAAACACACAGCGGTGTAGAACATCAGGGCGCTAAAGGCCACGATGCGTCGGGCCGGGGTCCAGTTGAGAGGATCACGGGTTGACTCGGAGGGGATGGGAAGCTTGAGGACTTTGCCAGCAGCAGAGATGAGGAAGACTGTGCCGGGCAGCTCCTCTGGCAGGGATGCAGCTGCCGGCTTCTCAAACGGCTCTGGGCTTGGAGGGGACGAAGCCCGGATTTCGGGGTCAATGAAAGTCATGGCGTGTTGCGTGAGGGTGAATATTTCGAAATCGGTTGCTTCTTGTGTCGACAAGGCCTGGTACCCAGCCAGGATCTTCGTGACCTAAAAGCCAACGGTGAAAGAAATGAAGGTCGAGTTGAGAGAGAGAGTTAATATGTATCTGATTATCTACCTAGGTAGGTAAGGGTGGATACGCGGGTTCTTCGGACCAACGTCTTTTCATATATAACGGCAACATGCAGACGGGGTGGCTTAACCATCATCAGCGATTGCAAGCCTAATCTTGGCCGGGGAACCCGTCTCACGATGGAATCTTATTTAGCAGCAGGGGCCCCCGACCTCGTGAAGGTTTGCCAGTCCCAGATGACGGGACGAGGAGCGGCAAGATGCGAGGCTCTGTGCTCGCTCCCCCGCAAGAATAGACCAGGGCGCCGTACCGTCCTGTTAGACAGGGGCTCGGGCATTGAGTGCCGAATTGAGTCAGGACTTCCTCCAGAAATGGTGATGGGGCAAACCTTATATCTGGGTAGCAAGGGTTTCTGCGGGCGTAGTCTGCTTGGCTTAGCCACCCATTGCCTGATAACTGCTTTTGGGTAACCACTGAGAGGGTCGAGAGGGTGACGGGCTACAAGTCGCAAACATCCGACGACAACTTGAAACAGCCGCGGGGTGTAAGAACCTAAAGCTGGTACGACCCGATTGGCAGTCGGCACACAATGCTACCGTCGGGTGTGGTAAGTATCGCTGTGGGGGCAGGTACCGAGTTACAGGGGTTATAATATAGAACTATCTAGTACTTAGTGTAGCCTCCGCCAGCTGCTAGGACCGCCTGGCACCTATTAGGTATAGTCTCTACCTGCCCTTTTAAGAACTAATTAGGAATAGCTTCCCAGGCTTCCTATACTTACCTCTTTAGTTCTTATTAGGTAGGCTTCTCGTTAAATCTGCCCTATTTATCCTAAATATAGTCCTTAATCTAGTTCTAGACTAACTTAATTAGGTTTAGGTCTAGACTAAAAGGTAGTTAATTAATCTATTTAATTTACTCCTACTAAAGAAGTTCTAGCGTTGCCTTCTACTTATAGGGACTTACGTTATCCTGAATAAGTAGGAGCCTATTCTATTAGTAAATATAACTAATTAGGGGTATAACCCGCTCCTAATAGGCTATAGCTGTAATAGTGCCCTACTATTTCTCCTAGAATAAGTAAGGGCCCTTTTTATCGCTAAAGAAGGAGCCCTAGAATATCTAGCCCTGCTTACGCTAGAAGCGACTAACTAAGTAGGTCGGTTCTAGGGCCTCGCTTATTCTACGTATAACCTACTATTTCTTATATAGGCTACCTATCACCTAGGTCTCGTCGGTCTATAATACCTAGCTCTAGTCGGTAATAGTCTAATAGGCTCTTACTTATATAAACTATAGGCGTAAGGCCTTAGCTCTCTCGGAAAGAGGTGGCTTCTTAGTAGCCTAGTACCTTCTAAATCCGTTACGTTGTAGAGTAGAACGGATAGCGTATTCCCTATATTTACTATTAAAAAGGGAAGTTATAAGCTCTTCCTACGTTATGCGCCTACCTTTAAAGCTACTCGTAACGTATTCGATTAATTACGTAGTTTCCTCGGTTAATAAAACGGGAGGGCGACCGGGGCATAGTAGGGGGTCCTTACGACCTAATTAGATAATGCGTTGAACCTAATAGATTGATAGGCCTAGGCGTTAACTAATTAGGCGCGTAGAAAGTTAGGTATAGGAGGAAAGAGTTAGGATTTAGATCCGTTAATCCCGGGTTAAGTACTATTGCCCTATTTTAACGTTAAAAAGAAGAGGTAGAGGGTTATTACCTGAAATTCTTAGTTACTGCCTAGAATCTATAGCTTAATTCTAGTAGCTATTAGAATCTAGGTAAGAAGGTGCCTTCTTATACCTTCTGGATAAGTAGGTCTAATTAAGTGGGTCTTGACGTGGAACCTCCGCGAAACTTCGGCCTGCAAGTATGTATTCATATGACATACATCTTTCTACATGCTTAGCTCGGGGCACTCCGAGTCGCATCGGAGTACTGCAATGTCCTCACAGGGCTCGATGGAGCTCAACCTGTTTGTTTCGTTCTGTCCATGACCGTGCCGACGTTCGAAAGCTTATTCATCCGTAAGGTCATGATCTACAATACACGGTAGCATCCAGAGCCCCCTTCGACCATGATGAACACGGGGCCCGAACGTCAGGCACCCTGAATGCGTCGCAAGAGGCCACGCCACACGCAATCTGAGTGTCTTGGTGGTACCTGTCTCTGGCCAGTGGCTGCCTTTTTTGGTGGGTGCTGGAGGCTTTTGACAAATCCCGGTCGGTTCTTTGAGCCGTTCCCATCACACAAGTTAGCTCGCCTTCGGTCGGCTCCTCGCGAAAGCGAAGACCAGGTCCATGGTACCCTCCCCTCGCTGCAGTGTGCTCCTACGCCCCTTCGGAGAATGTTTCCTCTTTGGAGCCGGGCAGCGTTCGCCAGATTCATCGTCCCTGAAACCATGATCATTAATATCGATCACACAAGGACTACGTAGTTGTCACATCCCCGGCGTGTGCCGGGAGATCAGGCGACCAGTCACTTGGAATTCCTCAGCGATGGCGCAAAGGAATTACACACGTAGCCAGGCGTATGCTATACAACAAAACGCAGCTCGTTGTTCTGTACAAGACATTAGGAACGCGCGTTAAGCTTCGTGGCGGCCTCGAAACGAGATGAGGCGAGGCCGACTAAAATGATGCTGGGCAGAATGAAAAAAAAAACCGCGCCCTCTGCCAGGGGTTCAGCACTGCCAGCCCCCACGGCGATGACAATCAGACAATTCGGCTGGCGCCACCAGACCTGCCATGGCGGGCCGCACTGCCACGAGCTTTTCCAATCGAAGGCCTGTCAAGCTCTCGAGCTTCCTTCCATGCCGGTAGTCCGCCCCCTTCTCTCTCTCTCCCGCACATACATGTACGTGGATGGCACGATGGCGCTGGGGAGAAACCCCGTAGTCGAGGTGCCTGGACCCTCGTGCATGGCGCTAAATCAATCCGACACCACTCCAGAGCGACATCGTCGACTCCGAAGGGCGATCCTGGTGTTGCTCTGAAGGGGGCATGTGGTGCGTACATGAACGCTAAAAACACAAAGCGTAGGTTTCTCGGTTGCCGCTGTATCCATGTTTGTGATGGTTTCACCGCATACGACCCTCCGAAGATGTCGAGTTCGTCAAGTCAACCGGCCGAGTCGGCGATGGTTCGCCAAGGGCTTTATCGTGACCAGGTAGAGGTGCGGGGGGAAGCTCCCGCACAATGACGGACCTGACTCCTCAATTGCGAATGCAACACCGCCACTCAAGTCATTTGGCCCGTGACTTCCGAGCCTGACGCAGGTACGAGATCAGTGCCTGAGAGTTCATGAGATCTACCAAAGACTGGCCTCCTCTGTCGCCCAAGGCGTTCGTCGACTGAATCCTGACGACGAATCAAAGTCAGATTGATTGCGATGTACACTCCGCCGGCAGCAGCCACGGCCATCTCGGAGGCCACTTTGCTCCGGCGAGTTTCTAGATTCCCTTCTTTCTGGTTCCCTCAACTCCGAAGCACGGGGGCGTTAGAGTCTCAATGTTGTGTGGCTGCGTGCCGGATTCCGATCACAAATCACATCCTTGCGCCTCCAAGCCTTCAGTGAGACTGGCCCTGGGCAATCTGTAGCGTGCTAAGACATGCCAAAAGGGAAGGGAAGGTGAACATAGAATCCGACGATATTAGTCATGCTGGGAAATAAGTTGTAATTATGGTGCAGAGACCGGAATCCTTTTCCGTGACAAGATCCCGTGTTGCAACAACCGAAGCAGACAGCCGCCATCCTCAGACAAAGAAGCACTGGAGAGGCCCCTCTTAAAGCCTGGCGCAGCCGAGATATGAGCTTAACGCCAAGGCCATCTATCAAAGCTTGATATCTGGGGCACCCCGCTCTGATTTTTTGGCTCAGGCTTTTCTGACTTGGTCGCCGATGTCTGCCATAGTTTCGGCCCCGCCCGCGAGCGCGGGTCGTGAGAGTTTGACGCGAGTGCGCGAGGGGCCGTGACAGCAATCCTATATCATCCGTCAGCTATTGTCGTCATTGCAACCATGTGAGATGGAAGCGAATACAGCGATTCAAGCCGACTGCGAATCGGAGACTGTAATTTGATTCAAAAGAACCGTCGGGTGATAGATCATCCTCTGTTGCTTAGGTGGTATTCGGTAGGCCTTTTGAGGGCAAAGCGACATAGTATCCCTAGGAACAAGGGAAGCGAATTGGCCGGACATGGCGAAATCCACGAGTAAGCAAGCAGCCCACTCCTATTGTGTTTCATGAGATCATTGTAACATTTGCCGCAAGCCGTGGCTTGGTGAGCCTCACAAGAGACATGCTCAACTTGAGCTGCGCCTGGCGCTGCCCTGGAAACAGTGATGGCTATGACTGCAGCTTAACAAGCAAAGCCTCACGTGGGTTAAAATATACTGACAGAATAAAGGCGACGCCTAGGCATCTCTTGTGGGGGGAGGGACCCCCCATGTGCGGATCGGAGACGGGTGCATAAACGAAGTCGAGTCAGTTCCATACATCTGTGCGAGACGAAACACCAGTTAAAGCCCGTGATACAAGCGTCCGAAAGCTTCACGATGTCTTCACAAATGACCGAACGAGTAGAAACTTTAAACTTGTACATCATGCCTGGGTCATCTGGCATAAGCCACGGGCACGCCTCCCGCTCTCTCGTACGTCTGCATGCTCACGCCAATTTCGATTTCCTTCTCCGTCATGACCTTCGGGCTGCTGATCACCCAACCGTTCTTGACCGTCGCGACGCCGATACTCTCCTCATCACGGATCATCTCCATGCTCTCGAGTTCCCTTCCCCTGAGGCGCGCGCCCGTCAGCCGCTTTGGCAGGTAATAGCCTGGATGGTAGACAGCCATAATGGAGAGGACGAGGAGAGTCGGCAGAAAGTTGAAGACC